TGAAGAGACTGCAAAGAGTAAAGTAGGGAGACTGAAAACTGAAGTGTTGATAGAAGAGGATGGGATTGGGGAGAGTTGGAGTCACTGATGGGGAAACGTTCCAGAAGAGCTATAGGAATTGGAAGTGGGAGCACAAGGAATGATATTAGATTTCTAATATTTCCAGATATTTTGGGGGAACATTATCCTACGTTAGTGCATATGCACCATTTCTAAACAGTTATTTATAGATTAAAGTATAAAACTAACACACCAGTTAGTTGTTAAGTAGTCCAAGAGCTCTGAAATATTTTCCAACAAAGTACATCTAATCTTTCAAAATCATATTAAATGAAAGGACACAGAAAAAATATTTTAAATGAAGATGGGGGAAGGCAAATTTACTTTGTTATCCTTTCCTGCAGAAAGCTGGCACATTTATATGGCACTGAATCAGTTGTTATCAGGGCAGTAAAATAGGTTATTACAGCTACAGTGAGGCATTTATATATATAAAAGCCTAAGCGACCATTATGACCTGTCGACCTGGTCGCTATGATGTGCACTGACCACTAGGGGGAAGATGCTCAATGCAGGAGCTGCCCCCTGGTGGTCAGTGTGCTCCCACAGCAGGAGCGCCCCTCAGCTCGCCAATGGGCACCAGACGCTGGGCACACGGCTGGCAAGTGCAGCTGCAGCAGCATGAGCCTCTCCCCAGCATGAGTGGGAGCAATGCAATGCCCAGTCCAGGCTCGGGCTCTTCCCCAGCCACCTGCCACTTGGCGTGGGCCTGCAGGGATTGGGCCGAAACCAGCAGTCCAACATCCCCCAAGGAGTCCCAGATTTTGAGAAAGTGCAGGCCAGGCTGAGGGGCCCCACCAGTGCACGAATCTGTGCACTGGGCCTCTAGTTGTTATTATAATCGAGTGGATCTCATGTGTAGTTTGTCTTTCCCAGAGAAAGAAAAAAAATGTACAGTTTCTGTAGTGAGTAAGAACTCTAACATCAGAAGAACATTCCGTAGCCTCTATATTTTGTGGTTTGCTTGTTTGTTTCAGCACCTAATGTGGCTCCTTCAGATGTAGGAGGTGGAGGAGGAAGCAACAGAGAGCTGACCATCACATGGGCGGTGAGTCTTAACAAGTTGTACTTATTACAGGCTGCTTTACCTGGACTTAGTCTCAAACCCATTCTGTTTCCTAAAATAAATTGAAATAAAAGACAATGCCCAAAGCACAAGCAAAGTAAATTACTAAAAGATCATTTTCTTAAATATATGTGAGATCTTACCTGGCTTACTATGGCTTAGTGTGCAGAAATAGATTCTTGATGCTGAGGGAACTGTTGGCCAAAACATTAAACCAACTTTCAACTATATGATTCCAGACTTTTTTTTTTAACTCATTGTTACCTGGTAACCCAACTGTAAATTATAACAGTTTCCCTGGATATTCAAAACTCCAAAGATTTGGTTAAAAAGCTTTTATTTTTTTAATTGGAGTTTGTTTCCCACTTGAGATATACTTTGATCACTAAATGGAATCAATCATGATAGATCAGTCTCAGAAGTCTCCCAAGTGTGTTTTATTGAGGTATCAAAAACGCTGTATTGAATTTTTATAACCCAAAGGGAAGTTCCACATCAGAGATGATAATGTCTGAAAAACAATGCATCTTGGCTGGAATTTTGAAGTGAGAGAGATGCTGGGGTGGGGAAGCATCACCTTGTCTGACATAGACATCTGAGGTGTATCTACCTACCATATTTTATCTAGCTCCGTGTGTTCATTAAATATTTTCAAGATTTAATCACTGCAGATAGTAAAATAATACAACCTAAGCTCTAAAGAATTTCAAAAACCACATGAAAAATGGCAGGTATTATTCTTTCCATCAATCAAATTGATTTATATAAAAGTAGATATTTAGCAAAAATTGACTTGACTCTTTGCTATGTAGTCAGATTTTATACGTGGCACTTAAATCACATTTTTTAGTAAGATTTAGAAAAAAATGCCTTTTGCTTGTCCAAATCTCAAATTATTTATAAGTAAATTTTAGTGTCCATGTAACATACAAAAGTGCAGGAAATTTAAAAAAAAATAATAACATCTTTTTTTTATAAGGCTTGATGTTCTTGGATCTCAGCTTTAGGATAAGATGGGGATTTTGTAAAAAAAAAAAATCAGAATTAGAAATCCTATTCTAAAAATTTGAAATAAAGTTTCTGGGAATAAGGCCTGAAAATAATTATTTTTTAAATATGTTTTTATTGATTTTAGAGAGAGGGACACAGAGATAGAAACATTGAAGAGAGAGAAATATCAATTGGCTGCGTCCTGCAACACCCTACTGAGGATTGAGCCTGAAATCCAGGCATGTGTCCTGACAGAGAATCTAACTAGTGACCTCTTGATTCATGGGTCAATGCTCAAACACTGAGCTACACTGGCTGGAATTTTTGAAAGCTCCGTAGGCGATCTGCTATACTTTTAATTACATAAACTAAGTAAAGAACTAGCAATAAAAAATTTAAACTGTTATGGTAATGTTAGGCTATACCTGATATACTCTAATAATCTAAAATCACATTTTGTATATCCTTGGGGTCATGTTTCAGGATGTCTATAGGTAACTCCTGAGCAACATGGCTTTGAACTGCCCAAGTCCACTGGTATGCACAGTTTTTCAATGAATACTGTGAATGTATTTTTTCTTCCTTACGATTTTCTTAATAACATTTCTCTAGCTTACTTTTTTAAGAATACAATATAAAATATTCAAAATATGTATGAATCAATAGTTTGTTATTGGTAGGATTTCCAGTCAACAGTGGCTATTTGTAGTTAAGATTTTGGGGAGTCAAAAGTTACATGCATATATTTTACTGAACCAGAGGGGCAGCACTTCTGGCCCCCATGTTGTTCAAGGGTCAACTGTATACTGTACAGGCAGGTACAACTTCTTCTACAGTTGAAGTTTTTACATTTTTATGTATTCATGTTACACATAGGTATATTCAAGCAGCTATGTTACATTTAATTCAAGAATTTTCCTTGAGACATTTGAAGTTGGATTTTCTGATTTAAAAAATTATAAATATGCAATTTCCACATTTCCCTTATTGGCTAAAGATGACTAAATTATTAGTATTCTCTAGAATTAGCAATAAGCCAGTGTTTTCAAATAATGAACTGGCAGGGTTAACACAGACTTCTTTATTGGGCAATTGAAGAAACTCTGAGAGAATAATGCAAAACAGAACACTTACTTCAGCACTGGTTTCATACAGTCCCAAAGCCAGCCTCCTACCGATGAGTACAATGTTAGCCCTTCCTCCTTTTGCCTTCTGTCTGTTTTTCCTCTGGCCAGTTTCTATTGTTTGATTACAAGACAGATATTCCAGAGTTCCATTACTGTCTTTCAATTCTAAAATTAATTTATTCATTCATTGAATAGATACTACTTGAGGTTTAGATCTAGGCACAATGGATAGAGAGGTAATCAAACTGATAAAAGCTTTGTCCTCTTAAAAGTAGATAATAAGTAAAATACACGGAGTATATCAAGATAGAGTTAAAGAGAAAAAAAATAAAGCGAGAAGTGAGATATGGAGTATTATAGAAAGAGCGTGGAAATGGCCAATCCTCTGGCCAGGGAAAACAAGTAAGTGAATTTTACCTCAAGAAAGTAAGGGAGGAGGTCTTCTGACATATGCAAGAGCATCCTAGGTACAAGGTAGAAGGAACTAAAAGTACAAAGGCCCAGAGTGGGACACCTCCCTCCCCCCAAGGAATGTTCCAAGAATTGCAGACTTGGAAAGTGAAGTCATCAGATGTTTTAGCCTAGAATTTTCAGGCAGCCCTAATTTATAAACTAAGAATATTTTTTTTTTTTTACAAAAAGCATGCTTCCATGTGTATCATTATTATTCTTATTATTGGTATAGGATTTTTTCCTTTTGTTAAATGTATTGCTTAAACCTATTTAATATTTCAAATTCTATTTAGCCTTTGTCAAGAGAATACCACTATGGCAACAATTTCGGTTACGTAGTGGCATTTAAGCCATTTGATGGGGAAGAATGGAAAAAAGTTACGGTTACTAATCCAGATATTGGACGATATGTCCATAAAGATGAGACCATGCGGCCTTTCACTGCATTTCAAGTCAAAGTCAAGGCCTTCAACAATAAAGGAGATGGACCATACAGCCTCATAGCCGTCATTAATTCAGCGCAAGACGGTAGGTAAAAATAAGATCTTACTAACTCAACAAGGAGAGGGGGAGGAACCTAGTTCTCTGGTAGGCATTTCATTTGCTGTCTTTTGGACCTTACTTATTAGGAGTTCTTTTATGACACTATACATGTAGTGAATGAGAATTATTTTGAGCCAAATTAAAATGTGAATCTCTCCACATCAATGACAAGAAAGTTGCAAAATCTTTTTTCATTTTTTTTTATCATGTTTATGGTAGTTAGGATATCTCCATGAAAATAGCTGGCTTTCAAAATCCTCAACAAAATCTTAGCAAATCGGATCCAGCAGTACATCAGAAGGATCATACACCATGACCAAGTAGGATTTATCCCAGAGATGCAAGGATGGTACAACATCCGTAAATCAATAAATGTGATACATCACATAAACAAATTGAAAGAAAAAAACCACATGGTCATATCAATTGATGCAGAAAAAGCATTCGACAAAATCCAACACCCATTTTTGATAAAAACTCTCAGAAAGGTGGGAATAGAAGGATCATACCTCAACATAATAAAAGCCATATATGACAAGCCCACAGCCAACATCATACTCAATGGTCAAAAACTAACACCATTTCCCCTAAGAACAGGAACAAGACAGGGATGCCCACTCTCACCACTCCTGTTCAACATAGTACTGGAAGTATTAGCCATTGCAATTAGGCAAGAAGAAGAAATAAAAGGCATCCAAATTGGAAAAGAGGAAGTAAAACTGTCCTTATTTGCAGATGACATGATATTATACATACAAAACCCTAGAGACTCCATCAAAAAGCTACTAGACTTAATACATGAATTTGGCAATGTAGCAGGATACAAAATTAACCCCAAGAAATCTGAGGCATTTCTATACACCAATAGTGAACTTTCAGAAAGAGAGATTAGAAAAACAATCCCATTTACCATCGCACCAAAAAAATTAAGATACCTAGGAATAAACTTAACTAAAGAGGTTAAAGACCTCTACTCAGAAAACTACAGGACGCTGAAAAAAGAGATAGAGGAAGACATAAACAGATGGAAGAACATACCATGTTCTTGGATTGGTAGAATCAACATCATTAAAATGTCCATACTACCCAAAGCAATCTATAAATTCAACGCACTTCCCATTAAAATACCAATGGCCTTCTTCAAAGATCTAGAACGAACTCTCCAAAAATTCATCTGGAATAAAAAAAGACCCCGAATAGCTGCAGCGATCCTGAGAAAGAACAAAGTAGGTGGGATCTCAATGCCAGATATCAAACTGTATTACAAAGCCACTGTTCTCAAAACTGCCTGGTACTGGCACAAGAACAGACATATAGACCAGTGGAATAGAATAGAGAGTCCAGAAATTAGCCCGAACCAATATGCTCAATTAATTTTTGACAAAGGAGGCATGAACATACAATGGAGCCAAGATAGTCTCTTCAATAAATGGTGTTGGCAAAATTGGACAGATATATGCAAGAAAATGAAACTAGACCACCAACTTACACCATACACAAGAATAAACTCAAAATGGATAAAGGACTTAAATGTACGACAGGAAACCATAAAAATTCTAGAAGAATACAAAGGCAACAAAATCTCAGACTTATGCCAAAACAATTTCTTCACTGATACAGCTCCTAGGGCAGTTGAAACTAAAGAGAAACTGAACAAATGGGACTACATCAAAATAAAAAGCTTCTGCACAGCAAAAGAAACCATCAACAAAACAACAAGAAAACCCACCTCTTGGGAAAACATATTTGCCAACGTCATATCTGATAAGGGCTTAATCTCCAAAATTTATAGGGAACTCATACAACTTAACAAAAAGAAGATAAACAATCCAATCAAAAAATGGGCAAAGGATCTAAATAGACACCTTTCAAAAGAGGACATTCAGAAAGCCAAGAGACATATGAAAACATGCTCAAAGTCACTAATCATCCGAGAGATGCAAATCAAAACAACAATGAGGTACCATCTCACACCTGTCAGAATGGCCATCATCAACAAATCAACAAACGACAAGTGCTGGAGAGGATGTGGAGAAAAAGGAACACTCGTGCACTGCTGGTGGGAATGCAGACTGGTGCAGCCACTATGGAAGGCAGTATGGAGGTTCCTCAAAAAATTGGAAATGGAACTCCCATTTGACCCTGTGATCCCACTACTAGGAATATATCCCAAGAAACCAGAAACACCTATCAGAAAGGATATATGTAACCAGATGTTCGTAGCAGCACAATTCACCATAGCTAAGATCTGGAAACAGCCTAAGTGCCCATCAGTAGATGAATGGATTAGAAAACTGTGGTACATCTACACGATGGAATACTATGCTGCTGTTAAAAAGAAGGAACTCCTACCATTTGCAACATCATGGATGGAACTGGAGAGCATTATGCTAAGTGAAACAAGCCAGTCAATGAAGGAAAAATACCACATGATCTCACTCATTCATGGATAATAAAGACCATTACAAACTTTTGAACAATAATAGATACAGAGGCAGAGCTGCCTCAAACTGATTGCCAAACTGCAGTGGGAAGGCCAGAGAGAGTTGGGGGGCAGGAGGGAGGGGAGTAAGAGATCAACGGAAGGACTTGTATGCATGCATATAAGCATAACTAATGGACATAAGACACTGGGGGGTAAGGGAGGGTAGGGGTGTGTCAAGGGCGGGGGGGAAAAAAAGGACACTTATGTAATACCCTTTGTAATACTTTAAGCGAAAAATAAAAAAATATTAAAAAAAAAAAAAAAAAAAAAAAAAAAAGAAAAAGAAAATAGCTGGCTTAGACCCCTGTTCCTGGCCCTCTGATTATAATTTTACAATCAGAAATTCTCCATACTTGATTGGAAATTTAGTATGTCTATGCATTCATGAGATTTCCTATTTAGAAATTCCTTAACATTTTTTGGTGAAAATTTCACCTTTTAAACAAATTTGTATAATTGCAATGTTTATATAAGTTTTTGTTATTACAGTAGAGTGCTAGAATTTTATTAAATGGAACCTATGCATAATTCTATGCTAAAGAAGTCAGAACGCCAGTTGAAATTTTTTTCTTGAAATGATAAAACATTTAGAAGTCTATTTAGGGATAAAAATACAAATACTGGCTCTAATTGATATGTATTGAAATCATCTCATGATTTTTACTTACAATATAAACATGTAAGGCAATCATATATGTATGTATGTGTGTCTGTATAAACACACGTACTTCTTTCAGTTAGTTAACTAAATACATAGAAAGAACAAAATGCAGAAATTATTTAACTTTATAATCAATTCAGGACTTTTTAGTCCTGAGTAAGAACTTACATTCTCTAGGCTTGTTCTGACTCAGCAGAAATATAATGGCACAATGTTAATAGTTTAAACAGCATGAGTACATCTCACAGAGAAAAAAGAAGTAGAAAGCATTTTTACAAGTTATGTTCCCACCCAACATCAATTTTTTATTGCTTTATTTGATGTTAAAGTAATCGGGCAAAAACCCATTCTTGTCATCTCTTTAGTCATGGCTATCTGTATAAAATATATTTCTCTCCTAAATGTTTCACGAGTCTCATAAAACCTGCATGCGTCGAAACTTGTACGTGTTCATCGTTTTATTGTTTTTACTACTA